GAGGTGAGCACGGGGGCCAGGGACAGGAGGCTGAGAGCAGCCCAGGGATCAGGGACAGGAGGCTGAGAAGAGTTGGAGGCTGCAGGGGACAGAGGCTGGGGTGAAAGCAGGGACCGGGGACAGGAGGCTGAGGGTTGCTGGAGGCTGTAGGTGATGGGAGGCTAGGGAGAACTGGGGGCTGGAGGTGACAGGAAGCTGAGGGGAGCGTGGGGACTGGGAACAGGAGGCTGAGAGGAGCATGGGGACCAAGGACAAGAGGCTGAGAAGAAATGGAGGCTGCAGGGGACAGGAGGCTGCAGGGGACAGGAGGTTGGGAGGAGGTGGAGGCTGCAGGGGACAGGAGGCTGCACGGGACACGAGGTTGGAACTGGACCTTTGCGCGCGGTGGCGACGCGCAGCCATCATTAATGCCACTTTCATTTCCTCTTGCCTCTCTTCTCCAGAAGAGTGGTGACCGTGGCCAAGTCGCGCAAGTTCCGGGAGCAGCACGGCAAGGTGCTGCTGGAGGGGCCGCGGCTCATCCGGGACGCGCTGGAGGCCGGCGCCGCGCTGCGCACGCTCTTCTTCAGCACCGTGGAGCACCTCAAGGCGCTGCCCGAGGCCAAGCTGAAAGGCGCCAACTTGGTCAAGGTGAAGTTTGAAGACGTTAAGAGCTGGTCTGACCTCGTCACTCCTCAGGGGCTTCTAGGTAAGATGCCATAGAGGTGGTCACAGCCCTGCTCAAAGCGACCCTTTTTAACACTCACGCTGGGACACAGTGTCAAAGTCTTAGTGGACGGTTCAGTAGCGCCTTCCTCATGCTTCCTCTCCATCCTTACGGTGGAGCTGGGACCAAGTAAAGCGGCATCATCCCTCTCCTTGGGATGTAGGAGGCAGAACCCTCTTGGCACTTTGTCTCCTCAGGGATCTTTTCCAAGCCTGACTATGCCAAGATGGCCTGTCCTGCGGCTCAGCTAACCAGCGCGCTGCCAATGGTCCTAATCTGTGACAACATTCGAGATCCAGGAAACCTGGGGACTATTCTGAGATCTGCGGCTGGAGCAGGCTGTGAAAAAGTGCTGCTCACCAAAGGTAGGAGCCTTTTTTTAGGGAAAAGGGAGTTGTCTGATAAATCTGGGGGGAAGGCAGGGAGTAAGAGGTGCCAGGGTGCTGCTCAGAGCCTCGGCTGCAGCCTCTGCAGAATGTGTGTTTGCTGGAGCAGCTGCACTCACCTTCTCCTTCCCTCCTGTCTCAGGCTGCGTGGACCCCTGGGAGCCCAAGGTGCTCCGTGCCGGGATGGGCGCTCACTTCCGAGTGCCCATCATCGCCAACCTGGACTGGGAGTCGCTTCCCAAGGAGCTTCCTGAGGGCGCCCGGGTCTGCGTGGCCGACAACAGAGACGCCGGCGCGTGGATGGAGCCGGAGCCCACGGCGGGGAGCGCGGGCGGCTCCGCTGCAGCTCCTGGCACCGTGAAAGCCAAGCCCAAGGCTCGTCCCGCGGAGGGCGAGGACGAGGAGGGGACGGGAGGCGCCGGCACCGCGGCGCTCGCGGCGCAGTGTTACTATGAGAGCTGGGCGCAGGCGCCCGTGGCCGTGGTGGGCGGCGGGGGGGGTGGCGCCAGGCGTGGACAGCCTCAACTCCGCCATAGCCGCCGGCATCGTCCTGTTCGAGGGGAAGCGGCAGCTGGGCAGGAGTCAGCAGCGAGAAGACGAAAGGCAGCAGTTCCCTGCGGTGGGTTGAGCTGCTGCGATCGGGGTGCTGGAAACGGCATCTCTGCCCTTGTGGCGTCCTGCAGGAGTTAATAAAGGAGCAGCCGGGGCTGTTTTGTTTGCACTGTTGTGCATGTTAAATAGCTCTGACCGTGGCGGAGCTTCCTGGGGCCCCGTAGCACTGGTGGGAACTGCTGCTCTCGGGGCTGCGGGAAGGAGCGGAGCCGGAGCAGAGCTCCTGGGGCTGCTCCGTGATGCTGCCGCGCAGGGAGGCGCTGCCTCCCGACCGGGGGCTCCTCTCACCCTGCAGCCTCCAGGGAGGCCTGGAGGAGGCTCACGAGGACTCACGGTGCTGCCCTCGCGTCAGCCCAGGCACACGCAGCTCCGGCCCTGGCTCTCCAGGAGCCCGACCGTGGTGGCCACTGGGGATTACGGGATTCTCCCTGTTAAGCCCAAGCCCAGCTCCAAACGCTGCAGCCCGTGCGGCTCCTGCCTCCCCGTCCTCATCTACAACGCCACGGAGCAGCTGCTCTGCACCGACACCGACCCCCTGCTGCAGCCGGGGCTGCTCCCTGCAGGCCGGGAGGCTCCTCTTCCTCCCGGGAAGCTCCTCTTCCTCACACGGCTCTTGCACAGGCTCCCTCCACCCTGGCCAGGCAGCACACGGCAATTGGCACCTCCGAGAACTAGGTTATTAGAACAGTTTTATTACAAAGTCCAATCACCATGTACAGTTTTTACAATGTCACTGTGGGGGGCTCGGCTGTGCTGCTCGGGTTAGGGAGTGGAGAGGGATCTCGTTTCTTTTTAAAGAACAGCACCATTAACGTTGGGTTTGGGACACACCTACGAAAGAACAGCTCCATCGACTAACATAGAGGCAGGGACAATTCCTAGCGGAGAGACGGGATAAAGGGCCAGGAGGGACGAGGACGAGGGTGGGATGGGAAGGGGAGGGCAGGGCAGCCCGCCCTGGTTCCCCCTCCCAGCCCAGGGAGCCGGGGAGGGGGATTTCACCCACCGCGTGCGGCCAGCGCTGCCTCCGCGACGGGGGAAACGGGAAAACGACCCAGGAAGCTCCCCCGAGGGGCAGGACGCGCACGGCTGCAGTTCATCTTTCAGAGGGCATCAGCAGTTAAGACTTTGGCTTGGCCTTGTTGGGGCACTCGAACAGGAAGGGAAGGTGGGCGAGGGCCAAAGGGGACAGTTTCCTTATTGCTTCCTTGGAGTAGTTTAGTCTGCAAGGGTTGGAGGAGAGGAAAGGAGAAGAAAAGAGCCCCGAGAACCCCGTCCACCGCCTGATGCGTACGCTGGGAAGAACACCATGCGAGAAGGTTTGCCTGCTAGCTAGTGCCGTGTATAAAATAACAATACGGGAACAGTTCTGGCCTGGTTATTAGAGAATATATCACCATGAAGCACAAGCGCTGTCTCCAAACGCCAACGACTCCCTGCTGAAAGTGCATCTCAAGGAGTTTGCTTAGGAGAAGGATTCACTGCGTAAAACAAGGCACCACAAGAAGGTTGGATACTGGGTCGGGCGTGAGAACACGCTGGAGAATCCACGAGCGGCAGGAGAGAGACCTAGTTTTAAATAACGTCTGTGGGCGCGGAAAGCCCCCTAGATGGGCTCGGGTTTTAGCTTGTCTGCTAGAAAGTCGCTCACAAAGGCTTCCACGATCTCCGGCGTGATCTCCTCCACATCCATCACGTACTTGGCCCTGGCGGACATGTCGAGGATAGTGAGCAGGGGCGCAGCCTCGGGCAGGTTGGTGTAATCCCGCAGCGAGTCGGTCATGTCATCCTGGAGACCCAAGGGAAGGAGAGAGAAAACCCATGAGCGGAGACACCGAAGCCGGTTGCTGCTTTGACACCGTGATGCCCGACAGGACAAGCCCGGGGATGTGGATGAAACAGGCCCATTCCCGATCCAACCCACGTGCCGATTGTCCCCGCTCCGGCAGCCCCGGAGGAGCAGGATGGGGCCCCGCTGCAGAAGGCAGCTGCTCCCCAGCTCCGCTCCCGCTCACCTCTCCGGCCACGAAGAAGAGCAACGGGGCCTCCTCCTCTTTGGCTTTGTACTTGGCGATGATCTTCTCGGCTATGGGCTGAATCAGCTGCTTGGCCGCCTCGGACTCGCCGTCGTCCTCCGAATCTGCAGGGCAGAGCGCGGGGAGGCCCCGCGGGACGGCGTGAGGACGGGAGGGAAGCTGCCTCTCCCAAACCTTCCCAAACCTGTCCTGCTGCTGCAGCGCAGGGACACACGGACACGAAAAGCCCAAGCTGACGGATGGAAAGCGTCACGGTGCTTTGCAGCCCGGGCAAACGCGCCGAGCTGAGGCTGCCCGTCACCCCCCACGTCGGGACGCGGCGGCCGCTCTGCGAGGGCAGCTCTCATGTCACAGAGGAGCAGCAGAAAGACATGGAAACATCAATCCAACGGCTGCCCCCAGGGATGTTCAGACAGCGCACTGGAAAGGAGAGAGATTTCGTCCTTGAGCAGCGCCTGGATGAGTCCACTTCAATTTGGGGACAACCTTAGCATGGAAAATATAGAAATAAAAGGCAGGGAAACAGCTCCGTGTGCTAACGGCCAGGGCTCCCGGTCGCTGCTGCA